GTGTGAGCCTGGTGTACGTACTTCGTAACCATTGCTTCTCCCCTTTATCTTCTGAGTAGTTAGGGATCCTTATCACCTCTTATGTATAGATGAGGAAACCGCATCACACCGCACTTGCCCAAGGCCTAGCCCGGTGCCAGAGGAGGTAAATGTGGGCTGGCAGTGATGGGGACAGGCTTCTGCGCCCCATTGGCCTCCTGGCCCTGCCTCTGCCTCCCCCACCTCCATTGGTTCCTCATGTTCTGCCACACTGACCTCCTCCAAGCTCCACCTCAGCCCCTCTGCAGGCCTAGACCGTCTCCCGTCTCCCGTCTCCCGTCTCCCGTCTCCCGTCTCCCGTCTCCCGTCTTCCGTCTTCCCTCTTCCTACCCAGGTTTCCCCGCCCCAGCTCCAGCCTGGCTTCCGGGAAGCCCTCCAGGAGCGCTCTGGTCCCCTTGACTACTATGGTAATTGGCATCCAAGACCACATTTTATTAACAGCGAATATGTGCTGAGGGCTTAAAATGTACTAGACACCCTTTTATGTGTTATATAATTAATTTTCTCAACAAGCCAGTGACGACCACCCCACCCCAGTCTACAGACAGGGAAACCAAGGCCCAGAGAGGTCAAGAAGCTTTCCCAAGGCCACAGAGCTAGCAAGCAGCAGCGGCAGGATTTGAACCCTCATTGGCTGAGTCCTGTGGGGCCTGAGTTGACTCCCTGCAGCACCTGGCACTCGGCGGGTCTCCATCTGGTTCACAGCCAGAGAACCAGCCCTCTGAGAACATAGCCCTGTCCTGTGCTTCTCTGGGGCCCGCCCACCCTGCACTTGGCCTGCTTCTGAGTCCAGGGAGCAGCAGCCTCGTAAAGACCCAGATCTGTGAGCAAGAGGGGCACTAGCGGGGTAGAAGCCTCTAGTCTGGGCCAGAAGCTCCAGAGGACCTCTGTACCCAGCCCACCTCTGTACCATCCCGTTAACCTGGCTCATCTCCCAAAGATGGCCAGACGGCCCCTCCTGCCTAGGACAAGAGGGCCTTTCAACCTTGGTTGCCATCATGATCACCTTCTCAGGAGGGGCTGTTTTTCTAAACTTCTGATCCTGAGTTGGAGACAGGCTGCAGGTGTGGAGGGAACCTGGGCCTCTGTGATGGGATATCACCGTGGCTACCATGTGCTATGTGTCCCTGCCCTCGGTGGTCCTCTAGGTGTAAACATATCTGAGTAGTGGCCTGTGTGCGCCCTAGTGTGTCTGCTCATGCTCAGGTGTGCTTGTGTGTGTGCACACACACGTGCAGCCACTGTGAGTTCCCCACCTCACACAAGGGCTGCTTTGTCTTCGCTGTTCTGACTCCCTTTTCCATCAGAAGGGCCCTGTTTGATTATTTTTATAGGGCGTTTCAGCCTTTTTCTCCGGCTCTGTCTGTCCCTCCGTGACTATTCCAAGCCCCAACTTACCTCATTCTGCCTAGACGAGAAGGCAGCTGGGGAACTCTGAAGCCAGTGCCCAATTCCTGGCACTGAGGCACTCTGTACCTCAGTTACCCCATTAGGAGTCTCCAAACAAAGATGAGGAGAAAAGCCAAAGTCTGCCCTGGCTGGTGTGGCTCAGTAGATTGAGCACCGGCCTGCAGACCAAAAGGTTCTGGTTTGATTCTCAGTCAGGGCACATGCCTGGGATGTGAGCCAGGTTCCTGGTTTGGGGGTGGGAGAGAGACAATTGATCGATGTTTCTCTCCCTCTCTTTCTCCCCCTTTCTCCCTCCTTTCCCTTCTCTCTAAAAAGAAATAAAATCTTAAAATCAAAAGAGCCCCAAGTAAATACTATCGCTAGAAAGCCAGGCCACCGAGCCTCCCTCCTCTCCCCACTGGAAACCCCTGGTTTCTCATTCTTAATGCTTCATCTGTCAACTTCTTTGATTCTCTGTGTCTCAGTTTCCTTGTCTATAAAATGGGATAATAATAGTTACTCAGAGTTGTGAGGATTATACGAACTATGGAGCTTCTAGTCTAGTGTCTGGTACCTCATAAAAGCTCATTAAGTTTAGTTATTTCCCTTACAAATCCTTATGGAGCCCTTTATTGTGCCCAGTGTGCTCCAGAGCTGCCTACTCTCCAGATCCCATCCCATCTCTCTCCCCATCTCCTGGTTCTGTTCAGGATGCTTAACTGGTCACAAGTTGGACGGGCCTGGGAAGCGGGCCCCCACCTACGATAGAAAGGACTGTTTCTGTGCTGGGATAAAGGCTGCTCTCCGGGGAATGGAGTTGGAATACTGTTCTCAAGGGAAGTTGAGCCCATCCTCCCCATGGGCAAGTTTGCCCAAGGAGGAGCGTAAGGTCTGCTTTGTCTAAAGCGCCCTCTGCTGGCAGTTAGCAAAAGGCCTTGGGTAAGGGCGGCCACCAGTTAATGGTAGGAGGAAGAGGTCTCAGATGAGGAGGAGGAGGAGGAGGACTTCTGCCTTCTGCCCAATGCAGAGCCTAGAGTGCCACCTTCTCACCCTAAAATGTCTGGCTTGGAGTACCTCTCTCTCTCTCTTTTTTTTTTTTATTTTTTGCCAAACTGAAAACAAGTTCTGAAGATAGCTTCCCTCTTCTCCTCAGGGCAGAAATGTTAAGGGTAGGACAAGCTGCCAGCCATAGCTAATGACCTGCCCCAATAGATGCGGATAACAGCAGGAAGGAGAGAAGCTAGATAACATGCAGAACTTTCTGAAAACAAAGCATAATTGGGGAAGTGGGAGCAGGGGGAGTTTTTATTTAGAAGGTAATAAGGTGGTGTGGGGGGAGGGGTATCCCCCATAGCATCTATCAGATCATTAAGAAAATTTTAAGCCCAATACACTCAGAAGGTGGTGGTCCACAGCAGCCCCGTTTCTTACATTGCAAGACCCTCTCCTGTGCCAAAGCCCAAGATAGATCTTCACCTCGTGTCCAAATGCACTGACCAGGCACTTGCCCTATGTCTGTGGGAGGAATAAAACAAAAATCAAAACAAAAGCTCTAGGCTGAGGCAGGGAAACTGCGGTTAGATGGCCGAGAGAACTGTCCTGAATGAAGCTGAGCAGCGTCCTCCTTGCAGGGGTGTCCAACCCGCGGTGCGCGGGCCACATGTGGCCCAGAATGGCTATGAATGCGGCCCAACACAGAATCGTCTATTAAAACATTTTGTGTGCGCGTTTACGTGTCGCAATGTATTCAATGTGTGGCCCAAGACAACTCTTCTTCTTCCAGCGTGGCCAAGAGACGCCAGAAGGTTGGACACCCCTGCTTAGAGTCTCTGGGGTCAGCCTGTAGAACACATCTTTTTTGTCCAGGGAGGAGTAAGGGAGCTGGGAGGCTGGCAGCTAACGCTTCTGGATGCTCTGGAGCTTTCTAGAGGGCTAGTGGGTCCCGGAGGAGAGAAGTGGCCAAAGTGAAGTCATAATTGTTTGTACTGAATTGTAGGGCACGCCATTGTGCAGATTACATGCAGCTAGTTGTGTGTACAGGGCCTGGCAGCCTCCACGGAGAGCAGGGAGGGGCAGAGTACAATGCCCAGCTCCTTTTATAAAAGTGCTACTTTTTCATAGTGTTTGGTGGGCTGGCCGGCAGGCAGGGGTGGGGGACTCTGAGACTCCAGGCTGAGCTCCTTGGCCTGACCCAGCCAGGACATCAGAAACGCCCTAAGCAAGGACAGGGAACTCATTCCAGGCTCTAGCCAGTGTCTAGAGGAGCAGGGCCAGGGAGGAGGCAGAGGGTGGGTAAGAGAGAGGAGGAGAGTGTGAGAGGGACCGAAGAAAACAGCTGATGGCGGAAAGCGCAAGGCAGGTCTGGGACAGTGTCGTAAAGACTCAAGCTCCAGATCCTTCCTCCCCTTTCCTAGCCCACTTCACCCCAAGTCTGGCCTTTGAAAAGTTCTATCAGTTTGGTGATTTGTGGGAAGGGCGAATGCTTCCAGTTACGCTTTTTCAGCACCCTTCCCTCTCCCGCCTCACCTCCCCCCAAGTACAGCTGACCCTTGAGTTATAGGTTTGAACTCCACTTACAGGTGGTTGTTTTTCAGCACTGTTGGCCCTCTTTATGCATCTGTGGATTCACCCAAACTTCCATGCAGAGGGCCGACTGAATGCATTGTGGTGGTGGAGGTCCCTATCACTATATATAAGGGACTTAAGCATCTTTGGATTTGAGTGCTCATGGGGAGTCCGGGAACCAAGGCCCATGGATACCCAGGGATGACTGCAGTTTTGGGAGAGTCAAAAGTTATACATGGATTTTTAACTGCACGGACGTCAGAGCTACTAACCCCCATGTTTTTCAAGGGTCACCGGTACACACAATTCTTTCGGGGCCCTGCCTAAGGATAGAGGCCTGAGAGGCCCTACTCTACGAGGTGTCAGGACTCACCTTTGGTTTCAACAGCTCGGACTGATTCTTCCTTTTCTTCTGGCCCCCAACTGTCCAGGTCCCCTTTACAAGGTCAGAATTCCGACTCTGAGCCGCCGGTACTGACACTGCATCCACGGGCATCCACCAGCAGCCCCACTCTGGCCGCTTGATGCCGCCCACACACGCACACGTGCCCCTATGCAGGCAGCCCCCATGAGGACATGGGGGGTAGGCCCAGGGCAGCTGGGTGGCCGTCTCCAAGGGCAGTGGGCCAGGTAAAGGTGTCCCGCAGCAGGACTCCCCCCTGAAAACACCCTGACAGGAGGCTGTATTTCAAACCGGGGAAGGGACTGGGGCAAGTTGTGACTTTGGGAGAAAAGAATGATGGAGCCATCTGGCTTGAAAGGAAACACCAGAGAATGCCCAGCTGGTGTGTGGAAGGGGGGACCAGAGAAGGAGGGGAACTGAGTATCGGCTGTAAGCCTGGTGGCTGACCGGTACCCGGCGCACAAGCCCACTCACGAACTTGCAGAAAGCGCTCCTGTAGGACCCCCCCACCGGCCAGCTGGTGCCTCCTGCCCCCAGCTCCCCGAAGCAGAGAAACTTTCCACTTTAATGCTCTCCCCCCTCACCTGGTGACACACACAGGGCCCGGTGTATAGAGGACGTTTAATATTTCTGTGCTGGTCAAACAAAACACAGGTGGGGAGTACACAGGGGAGGGGGCGGAGGGCCCCCTGCCTCTTGGGAAGGGTGGCTTGTGAAGGGACGTATGTGGGGGTTTCTTGGGAAATAGTCCAAGGAGTCTTCTCAGCAAAGGGGCCTAGCCCAGGGTGTCATGAGCATCCAACACACCCAGTCCTTGGCCTCAAGTCGGGATCCCCCATAGGGGGTCTGTGGAGAGTCTCACTTTTTTCCAGCTCCTTTGCTGGAATCCACACTCCCAGCGTGATGGGGGACTTGGTCCTAGAGAGGGGTCTGGAGAACCCCCAGGAAGCAGCCCAGAGTTGGGACTAGGGCTCATGTGCCCACTGCCCGCGGGGGTGGCAGGGCTGAGGGCAGCCCACCTCCTTCCCCTGCCTTCTTTCCTTCTCCCAGGCTGGGCAAGAGCAGAGTGGAGGTGAGCGGGGCCCCCAGCCCCGACTGAGTCCCAGGGTCCTCAGGGTGGGGTGGAGAAGGGGTGAAGAGAGAGGGATCTTGGCCACCAACAGACACTGTAAACTTTGGTTTAAAACAATAACTTAAGTGGAGGGAAGGCTTCCAGCCTGGGGCCGGGGTAGGGAGCAGGAGGACCAGGGGGTGTAGGAGGCGACGAAGGAAAAAGCCAACAAAAAGTTTTGGTTTTTGCTTCCGGCATAAGAAAGGTCTTTGGTCATCTGTTTAACTGGGGGCAGGGGGCAGGAAAGGGGTGCTAAGGAAAGGGGAGGGAAGACTGCAATAGGGGACCTATAGGCTGGGGGCGGGAGTGACCTGGTGGGTCACAGCAGCCACCAAAGGAATCCCACCTGCTCCTCAAGCCCAGTGTCATCTGGCCTTTCCCCCACGACAGAGGCGGGATGTTTCCGGCAGTCCGGGTACCACCTCTGCCCCAACTCTAGCCTCAAGGGTGGCTGGGCTCCCTTCCGCGGCCCCACCTCCAGGAGCCTGCCTGGCACGGACCTCTCTGGGGGAGGTGGCACGGGGCCTCTTCCTATGCTCCCTGGACTGCGGGGCAGCTGCAGGGACATCCAGCAAATGGGTGGAGGCCAAGTTCCACCTGGGCCCCACCTCAGGTCAGGAGGAGGAGCTAGAGCCAGGGGCCCCTGCTCCAAAGGGACTCCACAGGGCACACAACTCGTGCGACCCCAGCTGCGGCTTTTGCGTGGGCACAGCTGAGGGGCTGGGTTCTTCCGGGGATGGTTGGAAACTCGAGTTCCCCCACCCAGGCCAGGGCAGGGGTAGGAGTTAAGGGTGGAGAATTTTTTCTTCACAGTATGGAAAAGAAGGTGAGAGGGAGCACAGATTGGGGAAGTGGGGGGCCTCTGGCTAGAAAAAACTGCCAGAGCTAGGTGCGAGGGGCCCTGGGTCTGAGAGGGGTGGCTTAGCCCCGCCTGCGGGTCTCCACAGCGCTGAGGGGCCCTGTAGGGAGAGCTGGTGGGGGAGGAGGGCCCTGCTGCTGCTGCTGGTGGCGGGGAGGGTTTGAAGAGGGGTCTGGGCCCCCCCATGTCCTCTGCTGGTCCCAGACCAGGGGTTCTGTTTCCCCTTGGGGGCGGGACTGTCCCTGCCCCAAGCGTCTGTCAGTCAGGTCACATTGGGAGTTGCTGGCCAGTCCCCCCATCTGAGTCCCGGAAGTGCCTTGAGGTTTGGGCGGGGCTGTGGAGTGGGGGTAGGTGGGGCCTGGGTTCCAGGAGGGGTCTCACCCCTGCCCTGCCTGCCCCTGAGGCCCTTAGGAGAGGTCCTCTCCAGGCAGCTCCTCCTCCAGGTCCCTGTCTTCTGCGGGCCCTGCGGTGCTGGGGTTGGAGGGCCCCAGGGAGGGTCCGGGCCTTCGGTCTTCCTCTGCCTCCGCAGGCTCCTCTTTCACCTGCACCTGGTGGCTGTGACAGATGGGATCATGTGGACACCTTGGTGACCTTACCCTGCTCTCCTTGAAAACTCATCCAGAACTCTGGGGCACAGCAAGGTGTCCACAACTCCCTCCCCAGGACTTTATCATCCCTGAGCCACTGGGGCCTGATGTCTTAAGTCTGATGGATCTTCCCCAGGACTCTCATCAAAGGGAAGGGGAGAGGAGAGAATAAGGGAGAGAGGAGAGAGAAGGAAGAGGGGAAAAGAGGAGAGAGAGAGAGGGATGGGTGGGGGGGAATAAAGGGACCTGGAGGAAGGAGGGGAAGGAGAGGAGGGCCCACAAGAAAGGAGAGAGGCCGCTTTCTTGGGAGGAGAGGCACAGTGGAGGCGGTAAGATGCAATCCCACCTGCAGTAGAAGAAGGCTCTCCCTCCCTGACATCTGCCGGCAGGCGCTGGGGGTGGGGTCCATGCCTTGCGCTCACCTGTACTGGGGTGGGGAGAGGCGAGGCGGGCTGCTGCTGCCATTGCTGGGGAGCGGCTCCCCGGGGGCACCCACGTCGTCGTGGCTGAGGGGCAGCAGGCTGCTGGTGGAGCCAGGGTTCAGCATGCCAGGGCTGTTGAGGATGGGGAAGCTGCTCTCGGCCAGGGCAGCCTGGGGGGCACAGGGCAGGCTCTGTCAGTGGGCTGCACCCGGTCAGGTTATGCCCCTTCCCCACCCCGACAGGGCCTCCCAAGTGTCTGTGTGTCTGTGAGCTGGCCCCAGTGGGAGATCTATTTGGCAGCACCCCCAGGCCAGACTCGGCCTTCAGAATACCACACACTTGCCAAGGCCAGAGCTCTGACCCTGACCTCCTCCCTCCCAGCTTTCCTGGGAATCTGGGCCTCCCTCAGCCCCTTTCCAGGAGACAGAGGACTTCCAGACTGCCAGCCAGGGAAGGAGGCCCTGTGGATGATGCCACCGTCCCTGCTCTCTGCCCTGCCTTGCTCTACCAGACGGAGCCTTGAAAGCAGACGTTCTCCCCGCTGCAGCTGAGGTGGGGCAGAGGGTCAGGGTTCTGGCCACCCAGAGTAGTCAATTCCCTTCTTTTCTTCCTCCTCCCCTCCTAAAGATGGGTCCTCTGCAGGGAGGGTGGGAGAGGGTCTCTCTACAGACCAGTGTGTGTTGAAGAAAAATTGAGGGGGCAGGAGGTTGCGGGGGAGCCGTTGGTGGGGTCTAGGAAGGGCCCAGTCACCTGGTAGCTGGCATTAAGTGCTCCGTAACTGAGACCGGAGATCATGTTCTTCACCAGGGTGGGGCTCCTGGAGGAGAGAGAAGGGAGAGTGTGGTTCGTTCATTCACTTACTACGCATTCACCTTAACCCTGACTAAGGGCCTGCTTTGTGCCAGGGACTGTCCCATTCATTATCCTGGGGCGGCCAGAGCAGGCTGGCCACTTGGCTGAGCCTGTGTGCACCCCACCTTACTCAGTCCCCACACTGACGCAGCACAGCAGGTACTGCCAGCCTCCTGCCCAGGTGAGGTGCTGGGGTTTAAGGGGCTCTGGAATGTGTCTCAGGACTGGAAAGTGGGAGCAGGGACCCCTCCCAATGTCTGTCTTCACATCGTGCCGCCCTAGCACCTTTTCTCTAGATTTTCCAGTGTTTGGCAAGGTTCAAGATATAATCTTGACAGTCCAGTATTTGTCAAATTCTGGCGTTCTCGTTATCCTGAATTTTGGGACATCTAGTAAGTCAAGCGCTCAGTCACCATGTGCTCCATACCTAAGGCTTTCCTACACAGGAAGGTATTGGGCAGTTGGGTCAGGGAAAAACAATGGCTCAACGCTGTGTGTTTTCCACAATGGTTACCCCCAGCTGACTGGGTGTCTCAGGGGTCACACAGCTGGTGAGAAAGTAGTTTGAACCCAGGTCTCCTGATTCTAAGTTGGTAGTGAGACCTCGAGATACCAGGTGTGCCTGGGCCTCCAGGCCAAGAGCACAGATAGAGGGCAGCCCCTGTGGGGGTGTCTGGAGTAGGGAGAAGGCCTCTGGTGCTGGAAGAGAAGGCCAAAGGGGAGGTTTTGGCTCTCCCCCAGGTTCCTCAGTTTCCACTGAAAATGCTGTGCGGTTAAACAGATCACAAAAGATAGAAAGTCAGAGGCTTGGCTCTGCCATTAGTGTGCTGTGTGACCTCCCTCCAGCCCCTTGTCCTCTCTGGGCCTCCTCTCCTGTAAAGTGAAGGGCTGGGCCCGGGGACCTCTGACGTTGACTCCTCCTATGACAAGATGAGGGCGAGCGGCTCTGGGGATGGCAGCCCCCTCACCAACAGCCAGAGTGGCGAGCGTGTGCCCAGCTCCAGCCACGGATACTTGGGGCCTGTCTCCTTCTAGTGAAACATATCCCTCGGCTCCTTCCCTCAGTCAGAAGAAGGAAGGGTAGAATAAGACATAAACGTCCTCTCTCTAATCATCCGTCATTTCCCAATTCCAGTCTCCCCTGAGCTCCTGCACCCCTTTTCTCCCGACCTTACCCTCAGAGTGGGAAGGATTTGGTGCACTGGAGAGGCAAGGTGGTGACCTGGCCTACGCCCTGGTGGGTACACCCTGCCCAGGTCTGGGCCCACATACCCCGTCATCTTTGGTGGTCTCCGCTTCTGATACTCCCGCTCGTCCACGGTCCACACGGCGCCCTTGACATTCTCCACACGCACAAAGCACTTGTGCAGGCTGAGGTTGTGCCGCACGGCGTTCTGGGGGTGCAGTGATGAGGGGCAGGTGCTCAGAGACAGCGGCTGGGCCCCGCGTCTGCTTAGGTGAACACACCTTGTCCCCTCTTCCCTGGCCCAGGGACTAGCAGGGGAGGAGCCAGGCAAGAAAACCTGGCCATAGGGGATAGAAGGCCCCTCCCCCACCTTTGGAGTCTGGGGCTCCCACTGTGTTCCCCTGACAGCTCATTTCATTATCTGCCCCTCTTCTTCCCACCAACTTCTGGAAAACTCTGTCTACCAACTAAATGATATGTGGTTAGTAATTCTTTGTTTTTCCGTTATCATTAATCAGACACGTAGCTGTTACTTGGGGCTTCCGATTGTCAAGAGGTCACACTCAGGCCTGGACACCTCAGTGAGCCTGGGACACCTTATCTCAGGTGCCCAGAGAATTTCCACTAAGTTTTTAAAGTTTTGGGAATAAGTCAGACCTCTCACTGTAGCTGTTCTCCACCCTGGGAGTGGGAGAGCCATGGCTTGGAGCTGCGCCTCAGAACAGAAAGCCTACTGACAGCATGGGGTACACAGAGGAGGCCTAATACATACTTGCTGAAATAAACTGGAGAAAGGAGAGCGTGGGTGTAGTAGCTATAAGGCAGGAGGAGGAGAGAAAAGAGGAAAAGTCACCTTGCCGCCCCCACCTCCTTCTGGCAGGGTATCTTCTAGAATTGAGGCCATCTGGTTTGTAGGACACTTGGGTGAAGGTGGGGGTGCTTGGCCCAATTCCCTGCCCTCTCCACCCCCCAGCCCTGGGAGCCTAGGCTAGGGCCCTAATCCACCCACTTCCCCGACTCCCCTCACCCCACCCCTCATCGTGTCCCTCAGCCCTGTCCCTACCTCCTTCTCTCTCAGCTTCATCCCCCCCAGCCGTCCCTGTCCCTGTTACCTGTCCTCCCTCACCCCCCTCCTTGTCCCCATCTTGTCTCCTCTTTACATTTCTAAATGGGGAAGAAAGCAGGCAGGGCGGGCAGCCTGTGCCCCTGGAGATCCCCTCTCCCTCTCCTCCTTCCAACTCTTGCCACTTGCAACTGGCCCGATTTCATTACCAATTTTAATTTGCCTCTAATTAAATCCTGTGTATTTTTCCGACTCGCTTGCTAATCCACGAGGGAGGCGGGTGGCTGGAGTGGAATCTCTTGGAGCGATAATTACAAAGGGCCTAATCACGCCGGGGCTCCTGCCTCGGAATAAATTTGCCCGCATTACGGGGCTCCGATCCTCCGCTTTGCAAATGAGAATGACCCCAATTTCCGAGGATGGCCTCACCGGGGCTTTTTTCCCTCATTTCGAAGCCTGATTCGTGATGAGAGACTAATTCGTTACGCTGAAACATTAACGGCAATTTAAGGGGTCTGGCGGGGGCTGCGTAAACAAAAGGACGGGCCCACAACATGGGCCCTGGAAGGGGACCGACACAGGGGGAGGGCTAGAGAGGACCATCAGCTTGGCAGATGGCAGCTCCGTCTCTGGATGAACGGCAGCTGGCCTAGCCGACATTGGCTCCCCGACCCCTCTGCCCTGGTCTGAAGTGGAGAGCATCTCAGGGCGGGGGCCAGAGGGGCAAAGGAGGAAGGAGGAAAGGAAGCTGAAATAGTTGAAAAGAGGGACCTCAAGGGGAGATAGATGGGTGGAAAGTAGAGGTTGGAGGGAAAGACTCGGGTATAGACAGGGTACATTTCCCAAGTAATATGAACGAAGGTGCAAAACTCCCGAAGGTCAAAGTGGACCCTCAAGCTGAGACGCAGTCTGCTGTGCCCCAGGAGCTGGAAGCAGCAGCAGAGCACTGCTAGCTGGGAAGGTCACCCACCCCGCCATTCAGCCAGCTTCCTGTTGGAACTTAGGCTGGGTGAGAGGAGGTGGAGGTGAAGACTCTAGAGCAAGAGACACACCACTGAGATGACCAAAGCTGAGCAACCAGTGGAAGGTGGCGTGAAAGGCCAGGGACATTGGGCTTCGGGGGAGGGTGGCTCCATGACAATCATCAGGTGTTTAAGGAAGCCACCTAAATGAGTTTCCCCTGATTTAAGAAGCGATAGTCAAAATTGCAGTGAGGTGCGATAGTCAAAATTGCAGTGAGGTGGTGCAGTTAAGAGAGAAAAGGAAACGGAGGGTGGGTGGATGAGTGGTACGCTGCCCACAAGGAAGAGACTGTCTTATGGAAGCAAGGCTCCACACTGTCACCCCTAAAGGCAAAGGATTAATATGCAATGTTAAGGTAAACATTAGATAGCAATTGTAATGATTCATACAGACCCCTATCACTTACAAAACCTAATATCCAACTGGCCTGAAGGTTGGAGACTGCCCCAGAGGGCCCGGGAAAGGCCCTGATGGCTCAGAGAGAGGGCAGGACTGTGGTTGGCAGGAAATGACATCACTGGCAGCCAATCAGAGTAGCTGTCCCAGCCTCAGAGCTTCTTACACAAGCTTTGGAAATTGGGCCTGGGGAGAGGGAAGATCATGGAGCAGTCTCTCCTGCTGTACTTAGCACACTCCTAAGCACGGAATGCTGGGCCCTGTGCAGACCCCACCCAGTCCTGGGCACTGGTGGCCTTAGTGACAGTAGAAACCTAGTGGGATGGGGTGGGGGGAGGTAGCCTGTTTAACGGCAGTTTCTGCACTGGCCAGCAGGGGGACCCAAGAACCAGGCATCCAAGTAAGGTTCTGAGAAGGGGACTCCTCAGGTGTCTAAACTTCCCCCTAGGGCTCAACACTTCCCTCTCCTCCTCACCCCCGACCCCTCCCAATTTAGATGACTTTCCCAGACTGCTGCAAAGACCCTAATCTTCTCACCCATCAGACACACACACACACACACACACACACACACACACGCACACACGCGCATAGACACACAGACCATCTTGGCCATAGAGAAACAAATGGCTTAGCAGCTCGGCCCACATCTCAGTGTCCTAGTTTTCTAGGGTCCCTCCCTTGCCTGCCTCTGGTCCCCCAGGAAAACTCTTATGGGCTGAAGGTGTTGAAATGACTAATTGGATGGAGACAATTATCTTCCTGCAGCCGTTGGCAGAGTTGGGGAGTGTGTGTGACTGCCTGTGTTTGTGCCCCAGTGTATACAGTCTATGGATCTCAGTTTATCCTGAGGCCGGCATCCCCCACCCCACTCCATCCTCAGCTTCAGAGCACGTGCCTTCAGTCAAGGTATCCAGACCCTGCGGGCCTCTTGTGAATGTAACCCAGGCTTCCCTACCAGGCTCAGGCATTACTGACTCCTGGGGCCCTAATTCATGGGGCTGGACTCTTTGGGGCCCACAGGGAAGCACTCTTCTACAGAAGAGGAGGATTTCTTCCCAGAAAGCAGGCAGAACAAGGTTAGATTGGGGGGGGAGCCATTAAGAGGCAGTTAGAGAACATTCCATGGCCCCTGAAGAGGTAGAGGTGGAGAGAGATGCGCAGCCTGAGCTCTGGAGGGACCATTTCAGAAAGATTGCCTCTTTGAAGGTGCTGTTAGGCGTGCTTAGTCTCAAAGGGAGCTGCTGTCCAAAGGTAACGGGGGCCCCGGGCCAGGTGAGAGGGGCATGCCTCACCTTCCAGGTGGCAGTGTTTCTCCGGAAATAGGCGAACATCCTGGTGAACCAGTTATAGATCTCATTCAGGGTCAGCTGCCTGTCGGGGGTTTCCAGAATGGCCTGTGGGCAAGGAAGAAGCAAAGGCACCCTCAGTCTGGGCCCCAAAGGGTCCCAGGCTTGTGTACTCTCCCCCAGGATCCCTCTCTTCTGCCTGGCTGCTAACTTCCCCCGAGAGCAGAGGGGACTGGCTGCAGAAGCCTGTGAGTAAGGACTGGTGATGCTCACGGGGCCTGAGCAGCATAGGCTGGTTACAGCCCAGCCACAAGGGAGCACAAGCCTCAAGAGCTATGCACGCGTGCAAGGGGCACATGAATTTCTCTGGAGAGAAAAGAGCTCCAAGGGCCAGTGCCCTGGAGTGGGGACAAAAGCAGTATTCTTGGGAGAAATATCTAGGGGGCGGGGGCTGTTTCAAATTTATTATGATTTTGGTAAGAGGGTACCCTCTGAGATGGGGGGTGTGTGTGTATGTATGTGGGGGTGTGTACACGAGCGCGCACGCGAGAGAGGGGAAGCTGAGTAAAAGTGACCACAGGTCTATCAGAAAATGGTCTCATGGGAGTGCGTGCACATGGAAATGAGAGAATGAATACAGTAGATGTGAGTGGCAAAAAAAAGTGTGTGCTCCCAGAGCCGACGGTCACGCAGCCAACTGAAGCCTGTATCAGAGACCCGCTGCTGAGAAGGGTGAGCAGGAGGTACAGCCCTGAGAAGGACAGCTACGTCCCCTGGCCCAGGATCCTCCTGGAGGCTGGAACCCAGAGGCAGCCAGTGTGCCATTCCCCGCCCTCTCCGGCTGCCTTCCATGCTCACCTGGCGGATGAGGGAGGCGTAGGTGAAGGGGGGCCTGACATCCGCGTTCTTGTAGAACTCATGATTCTGGGCCAGCTCTGGAGGAGACAGGCAGAGGATAAGGCAGCCATTTGGGGGGCCCAGCTTGGGGGGGAACATGCCCCTCCTGCAGCCCTTACCTGAGGAGATGGGGGAGCAGAACTTGTCGCTGCTCCTCCTGCGGGCGGGCCCCCCGCTGTGCAGGGAGGCAGAACCCAGGCCTGGAGGCCTTAGAGGAGTGACGGGGGCAGCCGCTGAGGTGGGGGGGTGCACGAGGCCATCTGGGAAGGAGTCTGCTGCAGAGACCGTCACCTTGGAGAATGAGGAGGAGCCGGGGGCTGGGTTCAGCTGTGAGCAATGGGGAAGGTGCTGAGACCAGCCTGGAGGATGGGGTCCAGAGGGGCCAGGGAGCTGTGGAGGGGTTGTGGGAGGACTGCAGGGATGGGAGTCACTCACTGGCTGGCTGAAGGGCTTGGGCTCGGAGGGCCGCATGTGCAGATGGGCCATCATGGCTTGCAGCCGCTCGCTCTCCTTGGCCAGCTGTGGAGAGGCAGAGAGGCTGGAGGTGAGCAGGGCCTGTGCCTGGGGGCGGCCACATCTTTCTCCTCTGTATCCCACCAGGCGCCCCAGGAAACCCTTATTCCCACCACCACACGCCTCCAAGCCTCAGCATCCCAGCTCCCTCTGTCCCCTCACACCCTCAAGGCCCGGACAGGGGTCGCCTGCTCCATGAAGCCTTCCTCGCTTCTCCTCCAGACTGCGTGTCCCGGGCTCCAGTTCATCAACAGTCGGAGGAGGCCCGCTTCCTAACAGCACATGCCTTTTCTCCCTAACAAGGGCAGAGGCTGTGGCTGAACAACACCCAAGTCCAGTGGCACTTGTGTGTGAGAGGGTCCTCATGAACTGAATGGAGACACAGGAATGGATGAATGATTCATTCACCCCATTCATAAATTCAATAGATCTTTCACAACTAGCATCTCACGGCAGGGGCCTCTGCTAGGTGCCAGAGGGAAATGGTAAATATTGATTGGCTCCCGGACGGTCTGTCCTGAGGAGCCTCCTGAGTACTCCCGTGTTACAGAGCTCAGACTCCGGAGCCAGGCTGCCTCTGTTCTTTCCCAGCTGTGCCACCTGCTAGCTGGGTGACCAGAGGCAAATTGCTTCACCTTCCCCTGTTCCTGTTTTCTGTAAAATGGAGATTACAATAGTACCCACCACACAAGATTGTGTAGAGGATTCCCTGAGTTATACAGGTACAGTATTTAGGACAGGACAAAATAAGTTCTCAGTGTGTTAGCTATAAATACTACTATTGTTTCTATCAGCATGAGTCTCTTTTCTGGACCTCCCAGCAGAGACAACCCTGATCCTGTTTTAACTTTTGGAATCCAGCTAACCACGGCAATGAGGCCTTGGAAAATAAGATGCTGGCTCTGACCATATGACCCTTCCATAAGACTCCCCCAAACCCCTCCTGGAAAGTCAGTGCTGTGGGTGGGGCAGGGGCTGGTGCCCCCGTCCACGTCCCTCTGCAGCTTCGGCCACACCTGGATCTCCAGCTGCTGCACCACCTGCATCTGCACCCGGCACTGGGCCGTGCTCCGGTCGTCCAGGGCGTGCTCTGTGTTGAGGTGTCTTCAGGGACAAGAGGGGGCAGAGGAGAGAGAGTTGGCCCTGGGTTTCCTTCCATCACCACCCTCCCACCCGCCCTCTAAGCCTGCCCACAGCCTGGGAAGCAGACAGACCAAGAGATACAAAGAAGGGAAAGGGATGGGCAAAAAATGGGGCAAAGGAGGAAGCTGCCTTCTCCTCACCCTCCTTTGATGTCTTTGCTAAAATCCCAGCTACAGAGAGATCTAATTGCAAATGAACTAATTAAGTAAACCTCTGACGAAGCGTGAAAACAATTTGTTTGACCCTGATGCTGCAAGGGTCCGGGAGACAGCGGAGTTAATCAGTCAGTGACAGAGCCTGGCACGGCTGTGGCAGCTGGCCGCCTGCTGCCAGCCGCCTGTCTGCCTCCCGCCCTGCCTGTCCACCGGCCAGGCCTGTCACTAGGCCATCACTCATGGGGGCTGAGGCTGAGGGGAGGACAGGGTAGGGAGTCCTCTCCTTGTCCTCACACCCCCACCCTGCTGGGCTGTGCAGCCTGGGGACAGGGTGGGGAGGCGGGTAGAAGTGATGGGGAGATAATCAGGGCAGAGAAGCAGCCAGGTTCCCCTGAAAGAGGACAGCTAGTGGCTGAAGGCCCAAGAAGGGACAAGTTAGATGGCAGGCTAGAGGGTGGCGGGGGGTGGGGTGGGGGGGTGAGGGACCCAGTGGAAAGGCTTCTTGGGGGGAGGGGTACGGCTAGGGGGAAAGGTGACACCTACTTGATAAACTGGCCCAGGTCTTCACACAGGGTCTCACAGCCAGGCCACTTGCACTCTCCATGTCCATAGAGGGGGTGGGAACTGGGGGTCTCCTCATGGGAGGAGCTAGAAGGGACAGAGGTGGTGGTCAGGGACCCTGCAGACACCTGCTGCCCAGCCCCAGCTCCCCTGCTGGCAACATTTCCGTCCCTAACACAAGTTTCCCACAGACATATCTCAATTTTGTGTACCCTGGGACAGGGGTAGGTTTCCAGGTCCCTGAGTTCTACCTCACGCACCCAGCCCCCACTGCGTATACCGCCCCTAGAGGCCCAGGTGTGCCCTTGGGCAGGTCTGCAGCGCCCCCTTCTTAGCCTGGGCCCCCGTACCTGTCTCTCCGAGGTGTGAGCACAGTGGGCTGTCCATTGGGCAAAGTGTGGTGGGAGAGTGGAGGTGAGACTTTGGGGGGGGCAGCAAACGAGGTAGCGGTGGCGGCTGTGCCAGTGAGGTCCAGCCCCTCCTGCTTGACACTGTCCTCGGCGGGCTGTCCAGGGGCACCCTCGCCCTTCCATAGCTGGGGCAGGTCTGTGGGGCACACAGCTGCTGTGGGAGAGAGAGGGGAGAGGCTGGCAGGGCTTCAGGAAAATAGGGACCTTCCCATCTCATCCCTGGGAGTAGGGGATACCAGCCCTTGGGTACAGTGAAGGCTGTGGGGCTGGGCCAAGGGGGTGGGTAAGCCACTCACCTTGCGGAAGCGTCTGGAGGGGCCCCGAGGCTTGGTTGGGCTGCAGGCTGACCAGCCCCTGTCTCTGCAGGTTGAGCAGGTGCTGTTGCTGCAGCTGTTGCATTTGCAGGAGCTGCTGCTGGAAGGCCAGCTGCTTGTTCCCCAGTGCCTGGTGGGGAGCCCGAGGGGGTGGGCAGAGAGGGGTGCCATCAGCCTCAGGTGCACCATCAGGCGCCCACCCTGCGGCCACCCCCTCCCAGGGCCTCTCAGCCCCCGGAGCTGTGGGTGCAGTGTCTGAAGCTGCGGCTTCTCTGCTCCCGGCCCAGCTTCCATAGGGCTGCATACCTCCTCACAGTAAACACACGCACACACGCACTCACGCACGCACGCGCGCGTGCGCGCGCAAATACACAGCCAGACCCAGACGCGCAGCACGATGCCTCCCTGCTCCTGCCTCCCTGCTCCTGCCTCCCTCCTCCTGCCGCTTAGCGCCTGCTCCAGCTTCCCGAACCGCAGCTGTGCACGCCTGGTTGGGGGGGGAGGCGCGCTCTCATCACAATGATCGATGAGCCTGTCAGACTCCAGGGGCCACTGCCGCCCGGAGGCACCCTTCCCACATGCCCGGGGTGCCCCCCTTCTGCCTGAGGAGGGGGCCTTCTCCCCTCCAGCTCCTCTCTTGCTTCTTAGATACAGAGAATCACAAAGTCTGATGGGACTTTAAAAGATCAGCATCAGCTGGTCATTAGGACCCAGGATCCGTACTGCAGAGGGGCACTCTCACACTTGTTCACACCCTCGCTCTAGCTCTCGCTCTAGCTCTCCCACTCTCTAGGTCTGCTCCCCCCCCCTCAAGATTCAGTTCTTTACACAGGCAGTGACAAGCCAGCAGTCTGCAAGTCTTTTCCGAGCCTGCCCTGGGTGCTTGGGAGGCAGGGATGTTTCTACCTGCCTACCTGCCTGCCCTGGGGCCAGGGGCTGGCTGGTCAATAAACGCAGCCTAGAGATAATGCAGAGAATGCAGCAATTACTAGGCCCTTGAGGGGGGAGGCTGAAGCCTTGGGGAATAACTGGGTGTCAGCAGGGCAGCCTTCCGGGAAGAGGCAGCTCAGAACTTGGTTGTGGTTTGCACAGCAGGAGGGAGGCACATGTCTGGGATGGGGGTGGGGAGTTCGGGGTGGGGTGGGGTGGGGTGGGGAACAGCAGGGCCTGGTATGGAAGCTCAGGAGGCACTGTGGCCCAGATGGGGCAGCAGATGTAGGCTGGGAGTTAGTTCTCTGGAGAGGGCCAGGCCAAATACTACAAGAAGGGACAGAAGTTGGGCCAGGGACAGAAGTTGGGGCAGGACTAGGGCGTGGGGGGGCAAGTGGTTTGCTGAGTAACTAAAAGATTCTCAGGATCAGAGTGGAGGACTGAAGTGCTGGCTCACTAAGAGACAAGTGGGCAGGAAGAGGGCATGACAGCGAGGCAGGTGGTCATGAGTGTGGACCATGTGACACCACATACACGTGTCTGTACGCATGTGCAGAGACGACACACAGCTCTGTCTTCCTGCTCTTGTTAACCCAACAGCATAAGGCAAGCAGAGGACTGAGTGCGGATGAGAGGAGATGGAGAAATCTGAGCCCCTTTCCCTGTCTTCCCCATGCTCCCTGGTCCCCTCCCTCAGGCTTTTCCTGACTTTTCCACTACGCCCACCAAGCAATTCTCTGAGACTCCCAGCCTCTGGCCAGGAGAGGGCTGGGACTGTAGGTGATGGTGCGGGGCCCTGCCTGAGCCCCTTACCTCTTTGGGTGGCTGCTTCCCAGCCTGCTGTTGGGTGAGGAGCTGCAAGTGGAGCTGCTCTTGCTGCTTCTTGTAATATTCCTGCAGCTGGGTGGGGAGGAAGGGGTGGGAATGGGTTATCACAGGCAGCGGACTGCTGACCCCCGAGCAACCCCAGCCCTGGGGTGACCCAGCTCCTGGAGGCCGGGGTGGGGAGCCTTATTGAGGCAGTGGGACAAACAGCCTGGCAGGGAGATTTCTGCTGAGAGAGGTTTGGTAAATGGAGAAGGGAAAAGGAGGCTTCATCCCATACCACCCCGTATTCCCTGACTCTTGGGTGGGTCCCCTGAATAAGTCAAGGTGCTAGGACTCAGGATGTTCCAGTACTTTGCTCTGTCCTGGGGTTCTGGAGATGGGGGGGCAGGGGGGGCCCTAGCACCAGGGAGGGAGTGCAAAGGGGAGCGGGGCGCTGCTGTGGGAGAGGCCTGACTTCTGATCTCCCCCAACTGCCCTGGAGGAATGCAGATCAGTCGGGGGTGAGCACTCTCTCTGGTTCCTGCTGCTCAGCGATGTTGGTAGTAAGCAAGGCAGTGATGTTGGTAGTAAGCAGGGCGGGGGAGGTGGGAGGCCAGTCCTCCTCCCCCGCCCCCTTCTCAGCTGCCCTGGGGCCAGACTCACCTGCTGGAGCATGAGCGCTTGTTGCTGCTGAAGCAAGGCCTGCAGCTGTGGGGGCGACAGGATTTGTTGCATCTGTTGGGGGGTAAGCATCTGCGGCGACATCATGGCCACCGACACCGGCACCTGTGGGATTTGGCCCTGTTAGCTTTCTCTCCTAGACCTCATCCCGGGGAGGGCATGCACCCAAGGCCCCACCCACAGGATGGCAGGCAGAGTGGCTCCACAGTGAGACTGCCTGGGTTCCAGTCTGGCTCTGCCACCTACTGCTGGGTGTTGTTGGACAAGTGACTTGTTCCCTGCTTTCTTGTGAAACAGAAGCAGCAACAGTGCCTACGTCTTAAGGTTTTCAGGAAGACTAATGAGGTAATACCTAGAATAAAGCCTGGCATACAGCAGGTACTCATGAAGGCTGCCTATTTTGGGGGACATGCTACCTCAGGCGCAGGAGGATTAGGCTCTAGTGACACACCAGTTGGTAAAACCTGTATGATGGGAGGGCAGCTGCTAGCCATTCCCAACTCTTGCTCTGTCTCTTTTGGGACACTGGGAGGTGGGCCTGACCCAGAGGGACACCTGTAGCCATGGGAAGGATTCAAACAGTGGGCCACATGGCAAGAGCCCTGGACTTTGGCTCTGCTCACATACGCGTCATGCTCCAGCACGGCTGTCTAGAGGGCACACACAGAGCCAGAGAGCTCTTTCAGGGGGGAGGGGGGGCATGGGTGTGTGTTGGGGTGTGTGTGTATCTCTTCAGCAGTGTGGAAAGAACCCCAGGCAAGGAGTTAGGGGCAGGCTTCTACCCCTATTCCTGCACTGACCCTGCTGTGTGACAGTCACTTGCCCTCTCTGGAGTGTCAGTTTCCTCAACTGTCAAACAGGGGTTGGATGACAACAGATGATTCCTTCCAGCTGGAACATGCAGGTTTCTCAAAGTATAGCAGCTTTCTGTCCTCTGCCGTGGGTTACGCCTCTACAGGAGGCCCAGAGAATCTAGCTCCAGGCAAAAGGTGCAGGCAAGAGCAGTAACATCACTCTTTTCCCAGCCCTCCCTCCCTCTGAAACCCTGAGGCTTGTGGAGTCACAGCCAGGGAGGCCCAAGATGCAACACTGTCTTAATGCCGTTTAGCAGGATAGGTACCCTAATGGGGATCCCTGTCACCCCCATGGCGCTGAAAATGCACAAGGCTCTTCTCTAATCTCCTCCTCACTTCCAGGCCCTAGCAGTGCCCAGCACACAGCAAGTACTAACTGCTTGCTCCCCTGAACTGAAATACCTCCCCCAGCAGATGCAGGCCCCTCTGCCAGCCCTAGGGTAGGAAGGGAGGGGTACAGAGTGGCCCAGTCAGGGAAGAGTGTCCTGCAGGGACTTGTCTTGAGCAACTTGTTTCAGGTTAGGTCCCCAGGGGACTCACGGTCCCTCTCGCCTCCCCCCCTCCCAAATCCCATGGGTGGGGCAACGGAGGAGGAGTGAGTTCCTTCTGGGATCCCTGGCAGGGGCAGGACTCAGTCTCAAGCCACCAATTAGGGAATCCCCAAGCAGAGGAGCAGCCAGAGAGATGCGGTGAATCCTCCAGGGACCTAGGAAGATTCACTGCCCCAAGTTCTTCTTGCCCCATAACCAGTGGTTGAGCCCAGCCCCGGGTTTTCCTCCAGCCTCTCTACACACATCCCTGGAGGGGCACCACCTGGCTCTTTAGGCAGGGACACCCGGCAGGAAGGCAGGCTCCAAGGGGCCTCGACCAGGGAGCCTTAAGCGGCAGGGCTGTGATTGAAGCCCAGGTCTGTGTACTCCATGGTTCCTGGTGTTTTCATATCCCACACTGCCTGCCCCACCCTGAAGCAGGTCTTGATGAGCATTATGGAGGGTATAGTAGAAACTGAACCATCCAGGGGGCTTAAGGCTGGACAGGGCTGGAGATCCCAAAGGCCAATCTCCGTCTTCACACAGTATTAGAGGAGACTCTGGAAAGCTAGCCTGCGGGGCGTCCTGGTCCTCACTCTTGGGGGGGCCCAGCGGAGGGGGCAGACAGTGGCCCAGACCCACTCCCCTTGCAGAGCCAGCCCCTGTGTAACTGCTGGGCTGCTCACCTGTCCTTTCTTTCCTCCTTCCCCAGGGGCACCCAGCATGGTGGCACTGAGCTCAGAGCCCTAGATTTCTGAGTTAGGCGACCTGCGCTTTTGTCTCTGACACTGACTATTCTTTGCAACCACCAAGCCTCACTTTCTGCATCCTCTAATTGGGATTTGGAACACCTGCCCACGCTGCCTCACAGAGCTACACAGGAGGCTGTGGTTGGCTGTGGATTATGTGCCAGGCACTTGGTTGAGCCCTAATGAGTATGACCTCCCTGAATCTTCATAGCAACCCTGGGAGGAGGGTATCATTATCATCATTGTGACCATTTTACAGATGAGAAAACTGAGGCCTGAGGAAGTTAAACCGCCTGCTCTGCCTTAAAGGGACAAGGGGAGAAGGGGGAAGTGAAAGTGATTTCTATGTTACTAAATTTTGGACAACTGTAAAGACAACTACTTTTTAAAAACATTCTGAATTTTCCTTTCCGCCCCTCTTCTCTGGTCTCTGCCTGTCCCTCTCCCCTCTCTGTTACTGCACCTTAGGTACTCACGGGGCCCCAGAGGGCACTGGGTGGCAAGGGTCACTCAGGACAAGAGCAATGGGCCTCCCATTCTCATCACAGCAAGAGCTGCGCCAGAGGTGGACTTGGCCCACAGCAGGGGGGACTGAGACCAGACACCCCAGCTCTTTCCAGGCACCAGGAGTGAGTCACTGTGAGTGGCATGCAAGAAAGGATGTGGCACTTCCTTCCTTGGGGCTTTCCTGCATGAGGCAGGGGAATGGAAGAGATGACCTTGGAAGGCCTCCGCGGCCTCAGCCGTTTCTGCCACGTGGCGGAGCTGCTGGCTAGAGAGGCGGCTGCAGATAGACGGGGACAGACTATCTTCTGTGTCCTTGTCTCTAAGGTAGTCGAGGAGGGTCAAGAGAGGTCAGCAAGGTGGCTGCCACATACTGATCTCCTGAGCTGGCTGACCCGTCCACCTCTTCTCCCACCCCCTGGGGTTTTGAGCACGGAGCTGGAGCTCTCCTGGTGTCCTCACTGACCCCTCGCCAGGCCAGGGTATGTCAGGGTGGGCACCATGAGCTAGTCAGCTCAGCAAAGCTGGTGAGTCACCATCTGGAGAGTGGCCAGGGCAGCTACACGCTTACTAAAGCCCTGGCAGTGTGTGCTCTGGGCTGCCTGCCGCCCCTCCCCCAGGGCCCCTGCTCAGGCCTGGACCCCTCGACCCGCTACGCTTACAGTGCGCTAGACTGATGGCATGATGGGGAGGAAGCACATTTGGGAGCTCAGAGTTGGGATGGATGCAATCTGGTGCCAATCAAGGACCCAAACTCAAACTCTGAAGTACGGGGCCAGGGGTCCCTGGGTGATTTTGGATACTAGGCCAGAGCTTAGTTTAGATTAAATTCTCTTGCATATGACCAGAAGAAGTCCTCAGACTAGGTCTGGGCTGAATGTGCAATGAAAAAAGATCATGGTGGGACACTCGGAAGAACTTCTAGAAATGCCAGGAGAGTAAGCCTCAGGGGGCTAGAAGATGAGACAAAGGTGGGCAGAGCTAAGGGCCTGGCCTTAGACAAACATCTGCCCAAACTCCCAGCGGCCTGTGCTACTTCCCTGCCTGGCGTCCGGACCTGGGCACAAGCCAGGCAATCTCGAGGCTGGAAGTGGAGACCTGCATGGTTTTAGGAACTCATCTGCAGCTGGCTCTAGGAGAGGGCTAGTGACCGTGGCTGCAAGGAGAGTGGGGGCAGGAAACCCCACCGTGAGCTCGGGAGTGGGACAGTGTCCTGTGGGGGCCCCTGGGGAAGGGCTGCTATCGACCTCCCTTCATTACCGTTCCACTCAAACTCCACATCAACAAAATGCGCGTTCCCACTCGCTCTCCCCTGCTGCCCCACCAGCCTTGAGCTCACAGGAAAGCTATTTCTAGGCCCTGTACCTGACTTGGGAACAGAAGCCCCATCTCCTTAGAGACTGTGAACTTGAAAGGCAAGGAAGGTATCAGGGCTGGAGGAGAAGAAGGACCAATAGTCAGGGCTCCAGGCTCCTGGGGAAGTTCGGACGTCCCTGAGCCAAGAATCATCCAGCAAGGGCTGTGTCCCCAAGGACTGCTAGTGTTTACTAGTGCGCTAAGCGCATGGCAGTAACAGTATAGGCACTGAAATGTGAGGTCTGGGCCTAGTCGTTTGGGTTCAAATCCTGGCTCTGCCACTTATCAGCTATGTGACTTTGGACAGGTAACAACCTCTCTGGGCCTCAGTTTCATCTTCAAGATGAGGTCAATCACAACACCTACCTCATGGGTTGTGAGGATAAATGAGATGATACTTATAAAGCACTTAGTGTCTGCCGCAGGGTAAGCACTCTGTAAATGTCAGTTGTTAGTTTAGGGAGTATTGAGTAAGGACTTGTTGAGTAAACGAACCAAGCAATCATTAGGAGTGAGGGGGCAAGAAGACAGGAGGCCTAATATCTGTCCCTCTGACCAAAACCTCTGCCTCTCATTCCAGGGCATCCAGGGAGCTTTCTCAATCTAGGAGAGGGGGTCTCCCAAGGAAAATTCCACAGCCTCCCTTCCTTTCTCATCATTCAGCTCTCCTACCCCTCCTAGCCAGCTGCAAAGCACTTCCTGTGCCTGACCTCAGTCCCTCCAATTCTCATCAAACTCCTCCTTTCTCACCTTGGGTCGGCTGGCCCTTTCTGGGTTGGGGAATATTCCTGTGCCCCAGCCTGCTTGTCCCTGTTCTTAGAAGGGAGTACTAGGCTGGGCCCAGGGTAGGGAGAATCAAGAACAGCAGCCTGGCCCTGGCTGGGTAGTTTAGTTGGTTAGTGTTGTCTGGATATGTCAAGATTGTGGGTTCGATCCCCAGTCAGGGCACATACAAGCAACCAATGACTGCATAAATAAGTGAAACAAATTGATGTTTCTCTCTCTGTCACTCTCAAATCAATACATTAAAAAGAACAGTAGCCTGAAGGTCACTTCAGACCCAGGGAGTATGTGTGTGTGTGTGGCGGGGGGCGGGGGAGTGGGAGGGTGTCCCTAATTCTAAGAGACCTAGTCCAGACATCACATGGGCCTGAGAACTTTCTCTTCTTACTACCACTGGCTTTCTAGATTGTGTCCGTTCCTCCCCAGCCCAGGTCAGTACCTTTCTTTGCTCAACTCCTCCCTTTTGGGGGCTGTATCATTAGGTTCAAGACTTTTAAAACAGGGCTACAGCTAAGGCCCCACAACTGTTGGGTACCTTGAACTTTTTCAAAGCACTTTCTGAACGTAAGCTTGCTTCACATAAGACCCAGTCCTGGGTCCTTCTCTGGGCACCCTGCACCCTCTGCCCTGCCTTCCTCCCCACTTCCCTCCCTCTCCTTCAGCACCCTGCCCCCCAGACTCCAGAGCTCTAGCTCAGGATTGTGTTCAGCTTTCCTCCCTTAGATAAACTTCCTTTCAAAGCCCCGCTTAATCCTCTCCCCAATTCCAAGCCTCCCCCGCTGCTGTGGGAAGGGGTAGGGGGAGCGAGGAAGCTTGGCTGCTGCGCTGAGGGGGAGGAGCCTGGGCTGCCCCAGTTGTGACCCACCCCGACTCAGACAGCGATTCTCCCAAGTTCTTTGTGACACAAAAGGTAAACAGAAGGCCTGGCTTACCCCCGCCCACCCCCCACAGACCTCCCTTCCCCCAGCCAGCCAGATGGGCTAGCTGGCTGGGGGAAGGGAGAGGGGAAAAAAGGGCAGATTGTGCAAAGGAAAACAAAAGAGACAGAGAGACACCAAGAGACAGGAAACACGGGGAGACCGAGAGAACTGGTGGGTGAGAGACAAGGGGGGGGGGGGGAGACAAGGTGACCTCAGCAACTGGCAGAGCCAGGGAAGGGAGTAGAGAGAGACAGGCCGAGTGACCACACCTGGATGAAGAGCCAGAAACCTGAGAAGTAACCCTGAGGCCAAGGAAGAGGAAGCCTGCAGAGAGGGGCAGGGACAGAGAGATCTGAGTGCAGGTTCAAACTCAGAGACACAGAGGCCAAGCAGAGGAAGGCCCGGTGGTCAGGTGGAGATGAGAGAAAGTCCAAGTCCGTCGTCGTCCCCTGCCCCGCCCCCCGGCCCAGCACTTCGCTCTGGACAGCTGGCCAGAGCAAGTCTCCAACTGGCCCTTCCTCTCCTTTGTTCTGCCAAGCCCACCCTCTGACCTGGCCCCAGCCTGCCCAGGCCAGCCCAGGCCAGCCCAGCCCAGCCCAGAGGGGTGGTGTTCTCCTCACCTGTACTGCTGAGGCTGACTGCTTGCTGTCATTGTTCCCAGGGGAGCTCAGGCCTGAGGCCTGCTGTAGCAGGAACTGCCGGGCTACCTGGAGAGCCTGCAAGACAGGGTGAGTCGCTGTGCCTGCCCCAGCAGCTGGGGCCTGCAAGTCAGTGCAGCCAGTGTGGAGTGGGGATTCAGGCAGAGTTTGGGGTAGTAAAGGGGACGAGGTCAGGGTACAGCGGAAGGTTTTGGGGCTGCGTGAGAGGCTCATGGAGTCCAGTTGGGCCTGGAATAAATATAAAGATAGGAGTCACTGAGGAATCAGAGCCTGTAGGGACTCACTCTGGAACCTGGTGCGGTTTGCTGCCCTCGTGGGGGCAGCAAATTGGAAGGGTCCCTGGTCCAACAAGGGGATGGACTCAGCATTAATCATAGGTACTGTTTGTTGAGCACCTACTATGTGTCAGGCACTTTACAGGTATCTGGGAAGAAAAACTATTCTCTTTCCTTTAAGTTCTTCTGCCTGGACTAATAATCAAACTAACACAAGGTAGATTAGCAGGAAAAAAACATTAAACTTTAGTAACACATATACTCCCCGTACACATGGGAGACCCAGGAACACAGTAACTGGCTGTTACCTGAAAGACCTCCTTCAGCTAAAGACAAGATGACACGGGGGTGGAGAGTCAGTCTGGAACGGTTACCAGGAGAAGCACAATGCGTAGGGGAAGGTCCTTGTGTCTTCTCTACTGACAGTGAGCCAGGGCTGGTGGGGTGAGGGGAGCACCCTTACAGATGGAGGGGCCCCTCGCAAATGCAAATGTCCTTTACAAAGGGTACATGCTACTTGGTTTTCAGAGCTTTTCCTGGGTCTGCTGTTTGCTAAAATTAACCAGCCTAAAATAATCAATATCCCGAAGTGGCATATTTTGGGGTGGCAAACTGCTCCCCTTCACAGGCAGGATCTCATCTAATTCTCTCCTGTGAGGCAGGTATTAATAGCCCTATTATGCAGATGAGGAAACAGTCTCCAGAAGGTTAAGAAATTTGCCCAAGATCACACAGCGGGTGTCAGAGCCAGGACTGGAGCCCAGGGGGCCCGGCTCCAAGGCCACCTGCCTGGTAGGTCTACTAGGCAGTGGCTAAGTAACTAAGGGAGTGAATGCTACCTCCTTAGCCCCTCATGCCTGGTAGCTTAGGCCCTGGTGGGGCTAAGGGAGTAGCACTGACTTGAAATCAAAGCGTCCAGCTTGGCGGGATGGATGGGGGCTCAAGGTCTGCACACAGTGGGGCTTTCTGAGTTCAGGGGGTCGAGGTGCAGGGCCTCCTGGCACTAGGGGAATTCAGTCAGGTCCTGACAGGGGTGTGTGAAGTATCCGTGAGTTATACTAATTGCAGCGGTAGGCTCTTGGAGGCCATGGTGGCTGGAACGCACTCTGAGTCAGTAAAGTCTCATGAGAGGGAAGGGTATGGCATTTGCAGGCGGACAACAGTTCGGGCCAGACAGTGAGCCTGGGACATGGATGGATGGGTTGTAAGGGAGGCCAGGCAGGACAGTGAGGGGACAGGGAGGCCCAGGAAGTTCTTCGTAAGGTCAGCTAGGCCCTGCATCCCCCACTCTGGGGTCAGTGGGGGCTTAGACGCGAGGGATGTAGGGATCTGTCCCAAATCCACAGTCCAGGAGCACAAAACCTGTCTGCCTCCAGATTTCTCAGAGACCCAGGGAGCCAGAGCGGTTTGTCCAGGCCTTTGGACTTGGGGTTCCAGCAGCTGGCAGGCCTGGGTTTGAACGCCAGTGTCACTACCAGCGGTGTGACCTTGGACAAGTTGTTCCATTTCTGTGTTTCGGTCTTCTGATCTTCAAAACTGGGACACTACCCATCTCTGAAATACTAGGGGAATTACGATACCAATGCTTTCACTTTGTTGGCACTGGTGAAGTGTCTGTCCCTTCCCTTCTTGTAAATCTCCCTCAGTTCTCTCTCCCTCCTTCAGCCTCTCCCAACACAGCGTGGTGCCCAAGGCACCTATTCGATGACACGTGACCACCTGTGGCTCACTCACCTCTGTCCACACACACACACCTGTCTGTCCTCACATGGACTTCTACTCTCCTACCCCACCACAAGCACTGTCAGACAAGACGCTGTAAGGTGGAATTCAGACGCACTCATCCACACTGGCTCTTCAGCAAGCACTTCTGGAGCTCCTGCTGTGTACCCCCCCCCCAACACACCCCCCACCCCACCCCCACTCCTTTGAGCAGCTAAGCCTCCCCTGAGACTGAAATCCAGTTTACCTTAGGATGGTATCTAAATACACAGTGGTGTGTCTGTGGGGACTTATGTCCCAGCAAACCTGGGGTTCAGACAGGTGTGCTCCTTAGCATCCCCCCAGATAGGACTGGAGTTCAGACCCTGCGGACCTGAGGGTCCCCGTCAGCCTCTCCCACTACTGCCCCCAACACAACTCGATTTTCTGCCCCTAGGAACGATTAGGTCTCCTGACCCGCTGGGCCATTTGACTCCTCTGCAGTGTGCGGGTCTCTGCGCTTGGTATGCCCTTCAGGACCCAGTTAGACTGCCACCTCGCCCGGAGGCCTTCCCAGACTTCCCCAGGCCGAGGGGCCCTTCTCTGGGCTCGGGCACCCGGTGCTCCCCTGTTCTGTCTCATGCCCTGAACCTCACATGAGGATTAGTGGCCTGGGGTTTCTTCTTTTTAAGAGTCACTTCAGAAAGTGTAAGCCTGACCCTGGCTCTCAGAGGCTGTGGAAAGGGGGTGCCGGGCAGAGAGGGATGGGGAGAGAGGGGGTGGGGAGAGAGGGAGGTGGCCAGGAGATCATCAGGAAGGAGCCCCTGCTTCCGGCCTCCCTTGCTTTTAGTGACCCCTCCAGGTCTAACGATGCAGGTAGGACAAATGCTCTTTGTCCTCCAAGGTGGAGGAGGGCACAGGGGTCAAGGGGCAAGGTGTGGGGGAGTGGCTCAGAGGAGCTGGTCAGCCCCGGCAAGCAGGAGGGGACACCGGTCAGTGCGGGGAGAGGAAGCACCAGCCCCCCGGTGGGGAGAGGGGGCAGCAGGGAGGTTTGCAGGGGCAGTCAGGGGAGCCCCCTCCCCATGGGGAGAGAGGCTGGGGAGTTGGATTTACTCCCCACTACCTCCCTTACTTTGTGGTCTCCCGGAGCATGAAATTACAAGACTTATAGGAAAAAATGACATGGGTTTGCAATCTTCACTCCCTGCTCTGTGCTCCGACTCACTCGGGGCCCTCCCTTCCCCAGGGCCTCCGCTTTAGACCAGATCAAAGAGCCAGCTAAGACCTAGGCCTGGCCAAGGCTGTCCCCTTCTCTGACTTCTTACTCTTCCCCACTCGCTCTTTCTTCACACTGACCCAGTGCCTGCTTCGTGCCAGGGACCATGCTAAATGCTGAGGACGCGGAGGAACAAGCACACGGCCCTTCCCAGGGCTCACAGCTTGAGGGCTGGGGATGACAGCTGCCTGTCAGAGACGGCAGTGGGGCGGGCACCGGGTGCCCGAGCCCAGAGAAGGGCCCCTCGGCCTGGGGAAGTCTGGGAAGGCCTCCGGGCGAGGTGGCAGTCTAACTGGGTCCTGAAGGGCATGCCAAGCGCAGAGACCCGCACACTGCAGAGGAGTCAAATGGCCCAGCGGGTCAGGAGACCTAATCGTTCCCAGGGGCAGAAAATCGAGTTGTGTTGGGGGCAGTGGTGAGAGAGGCTGACGGGGGCCCTTAGGTCCGCAGGGTCTGAATTCCAGGCATTTTATTCATCTATTCTTTCCTACCTTTGCTCACGCATGCTCCTGGCCACCCACTGTGTACGGGCCCTGTGCTTGGAGATGGCGAGGTGATGATGAACTACATAAGGTAGTTTGTGTGGTTTGCCCTGACCCAATTTAGGCATTTGGGTACCACCTAAAAATCACCCTGTAGGTACCAGGGGCGGGATAACGGGCAGACCCTGCGCCTGGGATCCAAGCTGCCCTCCTTGGATTGCCTGGACGCGTCCCTGACAGCTCACTGCTGCTCCACTCCCCACTCCTGCCACTGTCCTCACTGCACGTCCAGACCTCCACCCAGAATGCCCTCTTCCAGATGGTCGCCCAATGGATCAAGTAGGGCTGAGATTTTGCAAAGCCTTACTGAGTCGTATCCGCCACTCTGGTGCATGAAGTCAGTGTCTGTCTCTGCTGGCTGCTGGCACTCGGGTCAGACACGTCGCTGGACGGCTCACCTCCCAGGGATGTGGGAAATGAAGGCCCCACCACCAGCCTGACAGATCCGGACCCACTTTCTCTGATGATGCCAACCGGGTTGTAGCTTCCTTGAAACACAGATGTCAAATGTATCTGTGGGCCCCAGCCGCCAGCACACAGCAGGCACGCTAGAGAAAGTCGCTGTAGTCTCGGCTGAGCGTGGGAGGCAGACACAGGCTGACACAGAGTTTAGGAGCTAGCATCTGGAGAGTGCCTGGCAGTTTTCAAAGCACTTCCATGAACATTTATTTAGTTGAAGCTTCACAACCTTGAGCTGGGCAGGGCAGGTATCATTGTCTCCGTTGTAGAGATAAGGAAACTGAAACCCAAGGTCCTATGGCCAGGAGGGAAAATCCAAACACCTCTGGCTGCCCAGCCCCCCTCTCCCCGGAAGGGCCGCTGTGGTCTCATGCACAGCCTGGTGAGGCCTGTGGATTCGCCCCTGCCCCCCCTCCTCCAGCCAGTCTAGTGTTTCAGCGGTCTGGGTGTGAAGGGAGGTGAAGCTGGTTGAGGTGGGGAGAGAAGACCAAGAAAGGAACCTCTAGGAAAAAGGTAGGTTCAGTTTCCCTTCCCTGGGGGCCACAGGTACCCAAACACAGTCTTGGGTGGGCCAAAGGCATTTAGAATCCCACACCAGGAGAAACTATCATGGAAGACCTGGTAAGGAGGAGGAAGAGGGGGCTCAGTACAGAAACCAGTACATGGGAGCCATTTGGCTTCTTAAACCTCATTTTTCTCCTCCCTCCATCCCACCGGAGTGAAAACCAGATGCCCAGCTCTGTGGTTTTGAAAGTAAGGACTATTTTTCCTCTAAGGAAGGCAGGATGGGTCTATTCAGTGCAT